CAAGGATCCTCCTGCCTCAGCTTCCCGAGTGCCGGGATTACAGGTGTGTCCCACCACGCCCAGCTCCTAACTACTTTTGATCTACAAAACTGGTAACAAAAAATGGCACCATCAGGCAGCAGCTTGATACCCTCCTAGGATGTTCTCATCCTGAGTTTCTCTCTGGAGGAAATGCCTGGCAAGTTGGAACCCCCAGGATACCCCCAGCCTACCGGGACCCTGTCCTTGGGCCACTGTACACCTGGCCCCCAGGGAAGACCCGCCTGCTCCAGGGATCCCAGGAAAGCTCTGACACCAGGGTCAGACCTTTGGAGCCTGCCTGCCGCGGCGGCTTCCATCCTTGTCTTTCTCTGGCCAGAAAGGGGTTCCTTGAGGACCTGGGGTGGCAGATGTGGGGATGAGGGCGTTGGTCCCCATGGGGGCCACACTCTGCCGGGACAGTGACACCCAGAGAACAGACCAGAGACATCTGGGTCACAGGGCCAGTCCCAGCTTCTTGACTTAGAAATGACTTCCTCTCCCTTTATTACTTTATCCCTTCTAGGCCAGCGGTGCATAAATGTATCCCTCAGTTCCCACAGCTCAAAGGGAGAAACGCAAGCGCCAAGAACTGCTGAGGGTGGAGGTTCCGAAGTTGGGGCTGTAGCCACTTCCTCTTGCTGGGCCTGTGCTGTGTGTGTCAGTGTATTTTAAGAATATTCCAGTCTCTGTTGTGGTTTTGGGTTTTTGTTGTTGTTGTTGTTGTTTAATTTTTATTTGTTTTGAAACAAGGTAGTTCAGGCTGGCCTTGAACTCACAATGTAGCATAGTCTGCCTTCAAACTTGGAGATCCTCCTGTCTCAGCCTCCCATGTGCTGGGATGACAGGCACACACCATGACACCCAGACTACAGGTACAGAATTGAGGCCTGGCATGGAGATCACACTGTGAGTGCTGGGTGGCTTCCAGGGTGTGCACGGGGCTGGGGCCACACAGGTAGGGCAGAGAGAGTCTCCTGCAGAGACCTGAACTGGGCCAAGACCTCCAGCCTTGAAGGCCAAACCACACATACACGCTGGCTTCCAGGAAGGCGACAACATGGAGACAGAGACAGGGGCAGAGGAGGACACGGTAAGCTCTCCACCCACCTCAGCCTGTCCAGCCCTGTGGCCACCCTGTGATTTGGGAGCATGTGAGTCACAGGAAAAACTCAGGACAAGCACATCCCGGTCTGGTAAGAGGCCTCTTCACGTTTTTCTGGTCAGGAAGGTCTGCAAGCTGTGGGGAACGCTGTTCATTTCCTGGAATCCGCCAGCTCAGGCTGGGCCAAGAGGCACCAGTTCCTGGGATCCTGCCCGTGGGCCTTGATGGTGCTCCTAACGGACGTCTGGCCAAACTGAGGAGCCTCTTGGAAGCCAAGGTAAGGCTGGAAGAGATAGGAGGGAAGGAAGGAGGAGGAGAGGTTTTATGATCTTGGCCTCTTGTTTTCGGTACCAGGAATCCAACTCAGGACCTTGTGCTTGCCAAGCTGGTGCCTGTGCCACTGAGCTATATCCCCGGCCTTCTGTTTGTTTTTTTGAGACAGGGTCTCACTGTGTAGTCCAGGCTGACCTGGACTCACTATGTCTCCCAGGCTGGGCTCAAACTCTCAGCAATCCTCCTGCCTCAGCCTCCTGAGTGCTAGGATTACAGGTGTGCGCCACCACGCCTGGCTTCCTGCAGGGACTCCTGCAGCTGGTTGGGAATCTGTCAAAGGGCAGCCTGCTCAACGAGCAACCTCCTGCTGTGAAAGGGAGCTTCCTGAGACCTCAGCTGAGGCCCCGCTACAACACAGAGCAGGGCCTAAGCACAACTGGTGGCTGTGACTTTTTTTTTGGTGGAGATGGAACCCAAGCCCCTAAGCATGCTAGGCAAGTGCTCCACCCCTGAGCCACACCCAGCCTTGTGACTCTCAGGAGCTGAAAGTTCCTGTGTATCCAGCTCTAGCGTGAGCCCCACCCCCACCCCTGTTGCCCCATAGAATACCTTTGCCTGTTTTTTTTCTTTCTGTCTTTTTAAAACAGAGTCTCGCTATGCAGGTGAGGCTGGCCTTGAGCTCAGTTTGTAGCCCAGGTTGGCCTTGAACTCGCAGTGATCCTCCTGCCTCAGCCTCCCAAGTGCTAGCATGAGAGGCTTCATGCTGATCTTTACAATAGCCTACAGCAGGTCCTTCCGGACTCCCTTTACAGGAACCAGAAGCGCAGAGACTTGCCAAAGGTCACACAGCTCCTGAGGGCCTGAGTTACTAAGAGCTGTGCCTATTTAACTCCAGGGGCCACCAAACAGCCAGCAGCAGAGCGCCAGGCTTGGACCCGTGAAGACGTGGACCGGCCTCCTCTGCTTGCAGTGTCCCAGCTTCCTCTCAGTCCTTCCTGTAGCGCCCTCTCCAGCGGCAGCTCTGGGCAGTGACAGGCGCAGAGCTGCAGGCCCAGAGTGCTGTTGGTGTCGGCGTCTGCACCTGGGTCCCGCCCTGGCTCCTTGAGCCACACACTTCCGGCTCGGCAGGGTCTGCAGAGGGAGCTGACTGTCCGTGCGGGGTGGAACCGAGACTCTGCTTGGGCGGTCGCAGGGCCCAGGCCGGCTCAGGGTCACGGCGCTGCTGCTGCTCTCAGCCCTGGGGACGAGGACGCTCCCGCATGTGGGGCTCGTGGTTTGACAAGTCAGCTCTTTTTTGTTTTTGTGGTGCTGGGGATGGAACCCAGGGACACTTTACCACTGAGCTACACCCTCAGCCCTTTTTCTTTTTTATTTTGAGACAAGGTCTTGGTGTGTAGCCCAGACTGGCCTTGAGTTCTCACCCATCCTCCTGCCTCAGGCTCCCAAGCAGCTGGGATCATAGGTGTGCTCCACCATGTGTGGCTGGAAACTCAGCTGCCTTCTGCTTTCCTGAGTGATCGTAGGTAAGTTACCAACCTCTGTGTCTTAGCTTGATCATTTGTACAGTGGGTTTAACAAAACAGTATCAAAATCATGGGTATCATGGTATCTTGTTTAAAGCTGTTTGGAAGCCAGGCGTGGTGGCCCACACCTGTCATCCCAGCACTGGGGAGGCTGAGGCAGGAGGATCGTTGTGAGTTCGAGACCAGCCTGGGCTACAAAGTGAGCTCAAGGCCAGCCTGAACTGCATAGTGAGACGCTGTCTCAAAAAGACCAAGAAAAAAAGCTGCTTAGAGCAAATACCTGGTAGGTGACTCCAAAGTGCTGTATAAACAGCAGCTTGTATGCCTGAAATCCCAGCACTTGGCAGGCTGAGGCAGAAGCAATGCCTTGAATTTGAGACCAGCCTGGGCTACACAGTGAGCTCAAGGCCAGCCTGGACTACATAGTGAGACCCTGTCTCAGAAACAAAAACAGCCAGGGATATAGCTCAGTGGTACAAGTGCCTGCCTGGCAAGGTCCTGAATTCGATTCCTAGCACCAAAAAAAAAAAAAAAAAAAAAAAAAAAAGCAAACTAAAAATATATGGATGAAGAAGAACTGAGACAAATACTTTTGTTGTGAATACGTATTAATGCTTTCCCCTCTTGGTGCACATTCAGATTCTAATATTTATTTATTTATTTTATTTTATTACATTATACTTTTTTTTGTACCAGGAATCAAACTCGCGACCTCACACTTGCCAGGCAGATGCTGTGCTGCCGAGCTGAATCTCCAGCCCCATACATTGTAATTTTTGAGACAGGGTGTTGCTATGATGCCCAGGGTGGCCATGAACTCCTAGGCACTAGCAATTCTCCTGCCTCAGCCTCCTGATTAGTTGGTACTATAGGCTATGTGTTTCCATGCCCAGTCACCCCAATATTTTAAATTCTAGAATTTCAGGCTCTAACAGGTGGATTTCTCTATTTCAGAATACTCTAGAATGTCACTCTCCAATAAGGTGGTCACTAACCATGGGCAACTTTTTTTCTTTTCCAGTACTGAGGATGGAACACAGGGCCTTTGCACTGAGGCACATTCAGCCTCAATAGATTTTTTTTTTTTTCAAGGCAAGGTCTCACTCTGCAGTTCAAGCTGGTCTTGAAATCACTAGGTAGCCCAGGTTGGTCTCATGGTGAGCCTCCTGCTTCAGCCTCCTGTTTGTTTTTTGTCTTTTTGAGACAGGGTCTCACTATACAGTTCAGGCTGGCCTTGAGCTCACTTTGTAGTCCAGGCTGGTCTCGAACTAACAGTGATCCTCCTGCCTCAGCCTCCCGAGTGCTGGGATTAAAGGCGTGCGCCACCATGCCAGGCTCTATACATTTTCTGAGACCAGGTCTTGCTAAATCACTTTGCCCAGGCGGGGCATGAGTTTTAGTCCTCCTGCCTCAGCTTCCTGAGGATCTGGGATTACAGGCGTGCACTACCACACTTGGTTAATGAATAGCAATTCACGTCATGTAGCACTGAAATTCAGTTTCTCATCTGCACTTGCTGCATTTCAAATGCTCAGCACCCATGAGGGCTAGAGGCTCACACACCCAATAGCCCTGGCACAGGACACAGCTCCCAACATAGAAAGTTCTGGTGGACATGCTGTTCTGGAATGTAGGTGATTACTGGTCAGGGTTCTAATAGGTTAGTGGGAGTCTTTTTGGTACTGGGAGTTGAACTCAGGAACTTGTGCTTGCCAGGCAGGCACTCGTGCCACTGAGCTATATCCTGGGCATAGTGTAGTGTTTTGTTTTTTGAGACGGGCTCTGGCTATACAGTTCAGGCTGGCTTTGAACTCACTATGTAGCCCAGGTTGGCCTTGAACTCACAGTGATCCTCCCGCCTCAGCCTCCCAAGTGCTGGAATGACAGGCGTGCGCCACCATACCTGGCAATATTTAAATTTTCTAAGGTGTACATGGGCTGGGCTTCCTTCAGGCCACATTCCCAGGCCTGTGGTTTCTCCGTGTTGTCCCTGTCCCTTCCAGGCATCTGGGGCCCAGATGGAAAACAACTCTCTCAGCTACGAGTTCGAGTACAGGGATTATGTGGACCTTCCAGATGTGCCCGTGGACTGCCCAGGCGCCGCCTGCCTGGCCAATGACGCCTTCCATGTGGCCCCGCTGCTGATCTACGCTGCCATCTTCCTGGTGGGGGTGCCGGGCAACATCATGGTGGCCTGGGTGTCAGGGAAGTGGACCGGCCGCAGGGTCAGGGCCACCTGGTTCCTGCACCTGGCAGTGGCTGACTTACTGTGCTGTCTGTCGGGGCTGCTCCTGGCGGTGCCCCTGGCACGCCGGGGCCACTGGCCATTCGGGGCACTGGGCTGTCGCCTGCTGCCCGCAGCCGTGCTGCTGTCCATGTTCGCCCGCGTGCTGCTGCTGGCGGCCCTCAGTGCAGACCTCTGTCTGCTGGTGCGCGGCTGTGCCGGCTGGGCCGGGGCCCCGAGGGCTCGCAGGGCGTGGGTGGCCCGGGGAGTGGCCTGGGCAGCGGCCCTGCTGCTCACGGTGCCCTCAGCCCTGTACCGCCGCCTGCACCAGGAGCACTTCCCGGCCCGGCTGGAGTGCGTCGTGGACTATGGCGGCTCCGCCACCGTGGAGGGTGTGGTGACGGCCATGCGGTTCATCTGTGGCTTCCTGGGGCCACTGGTGCTCGTGGCCGGCTGCCACGGCGTCCTGCTGTGCCGAGCGGCCCCGCGTCACTGGCCGCTGGGCACGACCGTCGTGGTGGCCTTCTTTGTGTGCTGGGCTCCCTACCACCTGCTGGGGCTGGTGCTGGCTGCAGCCGCCCCCCACTCGGCGCTCCTGGCCCGGGCCCTGCGTGCTGAGCCCTGGGTCGTGGGCCTGGCCCTTGCTCACAGCTGCCTCAACCCCTTCCTCTTCCTGTATTTTGGACGGGCTCGACTCCGCCAGTCGCTGCCAGCTGCATGTCACTGGGCCCTGCGAGAGTCCCAGGACCAGGAGGACAGCGTGGTCAGAAAGATGTCCACCAGTCAGGAACTGGTGTTGGAGATGGAGGTGTAGAAAAGGAGGACACCGGCTGGTCATCTCCTAGCACATCTCACACAGTTGGCACCAGGTAGAGCTGGATCCAGGGGCTCATCAATGTCTTCATTTCATTCATTTGTTCATTTAGTCAATCAACAAACATTCTTTATGTGCTTGCTGTGTGCAAGGCCCTGATAGAGGTGCTGTGGTACAGCAGTGAGCAAAACACACACAGGTGCTGACATTCTGCTGGAGAAAAATGGACAAGTAATGTGGATAGAATGTGGACTAAGCCCAGAGTGATCAGTGCTGCAATATCTGAAGCAGACAAAGAGGCATGGGTGTGGCAGAATAAGTCAGCCCCACAATGATCCTCAAATGAAGTAAAAATGGAGCTGAAACCTGAAGAAGAGAGAGAGGAGTCACATTTACATCTGGGGCAAAGTTGTTCCAAGCAGCAGAAATAGCATGTGCAAAGGCCCTGGGACAGGCTGGGTGTAGCCCTGGTGTACAGCTCTTGCCTAGCATGTCTTCTGAAACACTGGAGACAAACTTATACTCAAACATTCTGTGTTGTTTATCTGAATCTTAAATTTACTGAGCAGTCTATGTTTTTTTTTTTCCTAAATTAGGCAACCCAGCTTTGAGCGAAGTCCGTCAATCCATCTGCCTTAAATATTTCTTTTTTGTCTTTTTGAGACAGGGTCTCCCTATGCAGTTCAGGCTGGCCTTGAGTTCACTTTGTAGCTCAGGCTGGTCTTGAACTCAAAACGATCCTCTTGCCTCAGCCTGCCAAGTTCTGGGATTACAGGTGTGCATCACCATGCCCGACTCTGTTTTAAATTTTATTTTTTATTTATGTATTTATTTTGACCTTTTGAGACAGGGTCTTGCTATGCAGTTCAGGTGGCCTTGAGCTCACATTGTAGCCCAGGCTGGTCTTGAACTCACAACGATCCTCCTGCCTCAGCCTCCCGAGTTTACAGATTACAGTTGTGCGCCATCACTCTGGGCTCTCTGCTTTAAATTTTATTTATTTTTGTTTTGTTTTGTTTTGTTTTTTCTCCGGTACCGGGAACCGAACTCCCGACCTTGCGCTTGCTAGGCAGACGCTTTGCCGCTGAGCTAAATCCCCAGCCCCTCTGCTTTAAATTTTAATGAGGTCCTGTGCTTGCTGGAGGAGACCACACTGTGGTGGGGGAGGGGAGGAGCCCAGCGAGGAGGCTACCGCAAGAGTCCAGGCAGGAGGTGAGCGCAGGCAGGAGGTGAGCGCAGGCAGGAGGTGAGTGCGACTCAGACCAGGGTAACACAGCAGAGGAGACGCGAGGCTGACGGGAGGGAAGGCAGCATCCAAACCCTTGGGCTCCGCGTTCGAAGCTCTCCTGATGGAGTCCACGCTTTCATCTCTGCCCCTCAGACCCTCCTCAGACGGGGCAGAGGCCCCCACGACGCCTGCATCACAGCCCCCTGAACCTGTGAGGACGGGGCCTTACCTGGCCAGGGGCTTTGCAGGTGCGGCTCAGTTAGGGATCTCGAGGTGGGGCGTGGCCCTGGGTGGGCCAGCTGGGCCGGATGTCAGCACAGTGGTCCTCGAGAGGGGTCCGCAGCAGATGTGATCAGAGTGACACGAAGAGGCCGCCCAATGAGACGGCAGGTGGCCTCCATGGGAAAGCTAGGAATTCTCCCAGGAGCCTCCCAGAGGGACCCGCCCTGCTGCTGCCTGGACTTCAGACTTGAGATCAGAACACTTTAGGAGAACACGTTGTATTTTTTGTTTTGGATTTTCTTGAGACAAAACTCCCACTATGTAGTTCAGGGTGGTTTGGAAATCACTATGTGGCCCAGGTTGGCCTCAAACACAGTGATCCTCCCGCCTCAGCCTCCCAAGTGCTGGGATTATAGGCGTGCACCGCCATGCCTGGCTCTAGTAGTTGCGTTTCTGTTACTATAGCAACATCAGGCACAGGTTGCCAATGGAGAAAGAGGTTTGTTTGGCTCATGGTGTAGGAAGTTGGAAGTCCAAACAGCATAGGGCAGGCTTCATGAGGATCCTGTGGCCGTGAGAGAGAGTGCCAGGTAGGCATGCGCAGGAGCAGCTCCCTGTCCCAGACCAAAGAGCTGGGTGGGGCCAGGCTTGCTGCTTTTACCACAAACAGCCAATGAGAAGTAAGGACCTGCCTCCAATGACCTAAAGACCTCACACTTGGCCCCACCCCTTAAAGGTCCCACAGCAGCTCCCACTAGCACAACCCCAGGGCTAAGCTCTACTTACAGGAACTTTGGACATCAGGACACAATGAAATCATCCTCAGACGATCAGAAGGTAATTCTGATGGAATCTGCACCCACAGAGGGCTGGAGATTTAGCTCAGCAGCACAGTGCCTGCCTCGCAAGTGCAAGGTGGTGAGTTTGATTCCCAGTACCAGAAAAAAAACAACCCCCCCAAATAAAAGAATTTGCACCCACAGATAGGGTGCAGTGCTTCACTTTATAAGCTGAGCCCAGTGAGGGGATCTTATCTCCCCAAGATCACACAGCAACAAAAGTGGAAAATGAATTTGATCTTAATTTTACTTGACTCCAGTACTTATGCTTTTCATTACCAAAATTTTCCTTCAAGGCCTCACTCAAGTGATGCCTCTGCCAGGAAGCCCTCCCTGATTTCTTTCTCTTTGTTTTTGTCTTTTTGAGACAGTGTCTCGCTGTACAGTTCAGGCTGGCCGTGAGCTCACTTTATATCCCAGGCTGGTCTCAAACTTACAATGATCCTCCTGCCTCAGCCTCCCACGTGCTGGGATTACAGGGGTGCACCAGCATGCCCAGCAAGAATTTTGTTAACTCTGCTAAAATATTGTTTGTGGGCTTTGAACTTTTTTCATTTCATTAACATTATTATTATTATTATTACTATTATTTTGTCTTTTTGAGACAGGGCCTCACTATGCAGTTTAGGTTGGCCTTGAGCTCACTTTGTATCCCAGGCTGGCCTTGAACTTGCAACAATCCTCCTGCCTCAGCCTTCCGAGTACTGGGATTACAGGTGTGCATCACCATGCCCAGCTAATTAGCCTTTAAAAAAAGAATAAATCTTTTTTGGTACCTGGAATCAAACTCAGAGCCTTGCATTTGTCAGGCAGGCGCTGAGCTGCTGAGCTATCTTCCTAGCCCAAGAATAAATTTCACAAGTGCTTCCAAATGTATTTCTGTGCAGTTTTATATAAAATTCCCTTGATCATTAAAAAAAAATCTTTTTGTTTGTTGTAACTTTCCCTCATTTGTAAACTTTCTGACATTTGATTTTTTTGTTTTTCGGACTGAACCCAGGGCCTTCATACTGAGTGGCATTACTTCATCAACCCTTTTTGTTTCGTCCTTTAAGATTTTAAGGAAGGGTTTTGCTGCATTGCTACATTGCCCAGGTTGGGCTTGAACTTTCAGTCTTCCTGCCTCAGCCTTTCAGAGTGCTGGGATTACAGGCTTGTGCCACCACACCCAACTTTGTCTTTTTTAACCTTTGCAATTTCGGTTTCCTTGGATTTTCAAGGAGCCATGACTTCATGATTTTTCTAAGAATTAGTCTCATATATGCTACTCATGCTCCTCTTGATAGCTTGACCTCTCGATTTCATATTTCCTGTTTATTTCCTCCCTCTTTTTTTTTTCACGTAGTTCTTTTTTTTTTTTTTTTTTTTTTTTTTTTTGTTTGTTTGAGACAGTGTCTCACCATGCAGTCCAAGCTGACCTTAAACTCACTAGAGAGCCCAGGCTGACCTCAAACTCATGAGGATCCTCCGGCCTCAGTCTCCCCAGTGTGGCACCGAGCCCAGCCCTAAAAATTGTATTTGTTGGGAAATTTTAAGCGGAATATTAGTTCATCGCTTCTTTTGACAATGTGTCAAGTGGCTTCTGTGTGTTTGAGTTCTTCACGTGTGGTAACATCCAACTTCTTATTTAGTTTGCTTTGCATCTCCAGCGGCTCCAAAACCCTCAGGCACTGGCTCCGAGGTAGGGTTTGGGAGAATATTGCCCCGTGAGGAGAGGCTATAGCTGACTTGGGGTTGGAAGGTGGGGCCGCTTAGAGAGGGTCGCCGGGGGCGTGGCCCGGAAGTGTTGCGCACCCTCCCTGGCCCCGCCCCTCCCTGGCCCCTCCCCCCTGCTTCCTGGCCGCTGGGGGGAGAGCCCTTTTTTTTTTTTTTTTTTAAATCTGCCAGACCCTACCACCACGCCTTCCAGCTTGGTGCTGGCTGCTACAGACTGCGAAATGGTGCCGAATAAGCCCCTGTGCCTTGAAGTTGCGGGTGTGGGGTACCGTGTCCCAGTGCCTGCCAAGAAAGTGACTAAGACACCATTTTCCCTCCCCACTTGATGTCCAGTGCATATCTTAAATTTAATACAAGTTGAACATCCCCAGTGTTAAATCCAAAATCTGAAATGGCCCCAAGTCCAAAAAGTTTTGAAGGCTGACAAAACAGCACAAGTGGGAAACTCCACATCTGACCTCTTCTGATGGGTCACAGCCAAAATGTAGATGCACTTAAAATACTATTGTGTAAACTGGGTGTGGTGATGTGCACCCGTAATCTCAGCACGCAGGAAGGAGGATGAGGCGGGAGGATCTCCATGAGTTGGAAGCTACATAGTGAGTTCAAGACCAGCCGGAACTACGCAGTAGACCTTAAAAAAAAAAAAAAGAAAAGAAAAGAAAAGGGAAAACCAAAAAAACCATGTTGTGTAAATACCTTTTGGCTACGTGTAGAAGGTGTGCATGGACGTAAGTGAATTTTCTGTTTAGACTTCAGTCCCATCCGAAGATATCACCTTATAATCTATCCAAATACGGCAAAATCTGAAATTGGAACCACTTCCAGTCCCAACATCTTGAGAAGGGATCGCCAACCTGTGTGCTCAAAAGAGAGTCCTGACTGGGCGTGGTGGCGCACGCCTGTAATCCCAGCATTTGGGAGGCTGAAGCAGGAGGATCACTGTGAGTTTGAGGCCAGCCGGGGCTACATCGTGAGTCAAGGGCAACCTGATCTACACAGCGGGACCCTGTCTCAAAACAAAAACAAAAACAAAAACCAAAGTTCCAAAAATGCAAGGTCTTCCCCAACACCGCTCCTCCTTTCACAGCTGAACCCTCGGGTTCTGCCTCCCAAAGTCTTGTTCCCGCTCCTCCGCATCACCCACCAGCTGCCCTCAGGCCTCCACGCAGTGACCTTCCTGGGCCTCTTTCTCTTCCTGGTCCCCTACAGATCCGCCAGGGACAGAGGACCCTGCTAGCGTCTCAGGCAGCTCCGTCTCCCTCCTGCCCCATCTCTGCCGGCCGGCATCCGGGGCTCCTGCCCCACGCAGATGACAGCGTGTCCTGCTGTGATGACCGTCCCACTCTTTCAGCCCTGGCGCCTTCCTGACGTCCCTCCTTGAGCGCACACCGTGTCCCATGTCACCTTGTGCGCCTGCAGTTTCCTCTTCCTAGAACGCTTCCCCTCCAGGTGTCCCCAGGCGTCACATTTTTTTCAGCTCTCTGCTCAAATGCCACCACTCCGTACTGAGGATTGAACTTAGGGCCTCTGCACTGACTACATCCCTATTCCTTTAAA